CGTCCGAGAGTGGGGACCCCGGTTACTCCTATCTGAGGGCATCCACGTCCGAGAGTGGGGACCCCGGTTACTCCTATCTGAGGGTGTCCACATCCAGTGACCTGCTCCCCACGTCTCAGAGGGCGTGACCTGCCCACCCACGTCTCAGGGATGGCAGCGACCTGTTTCCCACACCTCACAGGCAGCAGTGTGTACCCCCAACATCTTATAGGCAACAGTGATGTGCTTCCCCACATCTCACAAACAGCAGCAACGTGTCCCCCCACTTCTCACAGACAGCAGAAACATGCCCCCTACATCTCAGACAGCCATGCCCTCGTGTCCTTCGTCCCACAGGTAGCAGTAACATCTCCCCCACATGCCTCACAGACAGCAGTGACGTGTTCCCTCCGTCTCAAACAGAGGAGCCGTGTCCCCCCATCTCACACATAGCAATGTCTCCAAGGACCTGGCACGTGCACGCACGGTAATGACATGTGCCTGACCCATGTTCCACCACCCCACAAACCTGACGCGGTCAGTGGTGTGCCCCCACTAGTCCCACAGAACCCACAAGCCTGGTGCTCACCTCTGGAGCTGGCGGAGGAAGTGCTGCAGCAGCTGCTGGATGGGTGAACTCTCGTTTTCAGCTGACAAGGGACAGAAAACCAAAGTAAATGACAGGCCTGGTGTGGTGCCACTGAGCCCTCCAGCCTCCCGAGATCTGTCTTTCTGGTTCTGTCACCCAGGCAGGCCTGGCCTGGTCCCCAGTAAACACTGAGGGGAGCAGCTGTACCAGGTGCTCAACTGCGCCACCCACATCCCATGAGAAGTGTGGAGGAGGCGGGACTCACAGCAGCCCCAGAGCCACTGACCACTGCAGGGCCTGAGCAGGTGGTTCACATTAGAGGTCCTTGTCTCACACCCTGACGTGGGTGACAGGCGCACACGGAAAACAGGCGCACAAGGACGACAGGCAGACACAGATGACAGGTGGACAGGTGCACACAGGCAACAGGCACACACGGACCCCAGGCGCACGCGTGCAACAGGCACACACGGACCCCAGGCGCACGCGTGTGACAGACACACACGGACCCCAGGCGCACACGTGCAACAGACACACACGGACCCCAGGAGCACACAGACCCCCAGTGCACAGGCATGACAGGAACACACACATGACAGGGGCACACGGACGACCGGAGCACACGGACTCCAGGTGCACACCGATGACAGGAGCACACAGATGACAGGAACACACCGATGAGAGGAACACACACACAACAGGCACACATGGACCCCAGGCGCACGCGTGCGACAGACACACACGGACCCCAGGTGCACACCAATGACAGGAGCACACAGACAATAGGAACACACCGATGACAGGAACACACAGACGACAGGAGCATACGCACGACAGGCGCACATGCACAGGGCAGGGGACATGTGAGAGCACAGGTGACCACATCTCAGGGTGAACCCAGATAAAATCCCTGAGGGTGTGGATATCCACATCTCAGGGCCCACAGTCAGAATGAAGACAGGCCAACAGAATACACCCATTAATGAGACAATTAGCAGACCACAAGTGGAGCTTGAGGGGGGACTCTCTGTTGAAGGGATCAAGTATCCCCAAGTGAACGGAGTAAAATGAGAAACATTCCCAAATTAAGGAAACAACTTATAATAAAGAACAATAACTAGGGTGAGTTGGGGGCATTCCCAAAGTGTGCTGATGCCCGGGGGTCAAGGACCCATGACTCGACACACATGGTGGGCGGGTTAGGAGGAGGTGAGTGTATCCATCATCACAGTCATCTAAACATCACAACGTAGTCAAGCATCTCCACCTCCACTGAACTCAGCAATAATTCCATCAGCCCTGGTGCTGACTTGGGGGGAAATGGCAGGCAGGGCCACAGGGTCTCTGCTCCCCTGGGAAGAGGTGACCCAATCCTATCAGAGCAGTTGATCCAGAGTCAAGCAAAGTGAGAAGTACTCTGGCTCCTGGTCAGAAGACAGAGGCAGCTCCAAGACAGAGGCGCATATTCAGCCCTGGATAGGAGAGTAGAGCCTCGTGGCAATGGCCAGGATAATGCTCTATCTGTCAGAGGGATGGAATCTGGCCTCATGGGTGAAGAAGACACTAGGACCACTACTGCCTATCTCTCTGGGGTCATGGGCCCACCTTCGCTATCTCAGTCTGCGTCACAGAGTTGCCCCCAGCTACAGTCTGCTGGGGTCGTGAGGGAAAATCACTCAGAGTAATACAAACGTCCACCTAAAGCCCTAAGCACAGGGGGCTGGGAACATGAGGAGCTCTGGAGCTGATAGTACGAGCTGAACACCAGCCGGCCCCACAAGCTCACTCCAGCGTCATCACTCCAGGGTCATCGCTCCAGGGTCATCGCTCCAGGGTCATGAGAGGCCTCGTGACCCTGTGGCTCCTCCACAATGGTCAATGCCCCCTCTAAACAGCACAGCTGTCTGCCACTTGGGTCCTGAAGTCAACGGGCACCCGCGTCCACGCTGAGAAGCAGTGAGACCTCCCTCCCAGCACGAAGGGCCTGCCTGTGTCCTCCCCGTGGGCTACTCCTGACTCCAACAGCCCATGCGGGGACGTGAGGGCGGGCAGTGGGCACACGGTGGTCGCATGCTCTTGGCATTCTCTGTACCATCTTTGACAGCACAGGTGACTCTCAGTCAGAGCAGCAGGACCTGGTGATGCCATGATGCCCTGGGAGAGGTGTGGGGCCCCCCTTTTCCTGCATGACTCCCTAAAAACTGGCAGCATGTCAAACCCCACTGGACAGGGACTGAGCCCCAGGCCCTGGTGCAACACTTGCCTGGCTGCGTGCGGCAGGCTCGGATGGGCCTGTCAGGGGGCGGCTCCACCTCCACCTTCTTGCCTGGGTCAAAGTCATCGGCCTCACCCTCAGTGTCACAGTGCTCCTTCTCCCGCTTCCGCTTCTTCTCCTCCTGTGGGCACAGGCAGGTGAGGGGTGACGGACGGTGAGGGGCGATGGGTGGTGAGTGGCGATGGGGGTGTGAGGGGCGTCGGGAGTGGGTGAATGGTGACGGGGGGAATAAGGGGCAACGGGGGAGTGAGGGGTGATGGGGGGTGAGGGGTGACAGGGAGGTGAGGGCCAGTACAAGCATGCCAACTGGCTCCAAGTCGCGCCTCTGGCCCTGGACACCCTCACGCGAGGCCCGCGGGCTGCAGGCAGCTGGCCACCTTTCTCTTGCGCCGCTCCTCATCATCCAGATGCTTGTCCTTCTCCGACTTCTTCTTTTTTTTCTTCTTTTTTTCCCGGTGCCGCTCGCGCTCGTGGTCTGACCTGTCGTCGTAGTAGCTGGAGTCGTGGCCGGATCCCGAGAGCTCGGTCACCTCGCTGCCCCCCACCTTCAGGACCAGCTTCAGAGGCTTCTCCAGGGGCT